GTATCCACTAACGCTCTGATTTTCTGGCCCGCAATCCAAACCTCAATAAACCCCAAAGGACAGGCATAAGTAAGTGCATTATTACCTAATTTCATACCCTTTTCCCGAGGTTGATGTGGTTCGCTATTGTCAAAGTTCCTATGATCGCACCTTCCTGAGTTCTGACTTCGCTCCCGTGGCATTGAATTGTCTTCTGCTTCTGTCTGTAATTCCTGAAGAAACTTGGGCGCAATTAATAATAATTCTTCCAAGGTAAGCGTGAAACTTTGCTTTAGAAATTTCTTTCTAAGTCCCCCCCCAACTTTAGACTGATCCATGGTTCGGGGAAACACTTCTTTGGCTGACTTTTCTTCCATCCTCTTCTCTGGTGTTTGTGACACAGGTTTCTCCGTTTCTGCATTCGGTGGTCTCGGCGCTGAAAAGTGAGGTGGAAATGGTCTAGCGTTTTGATTGGTATTCATTTCGGTTCGTAACTTCTTAATTTCCTCCTCCAAGGCCTTCACTTTGTCTGTTCCGTTATCTGATTTTGTCTTGGCTTGAACTTCTCGTTTATTCTCGGATTCCTTGGTAGCAGGTTTAGCTTTAGGAATGCCAACATCTAAGTCATATACTGACAAAGAGGCTTCCACGTAATCCTTCAACACTTCCAACTTGGGTACCAGCGCCTTTCCATCCTTGGTCTTCTTTAATTTCTTGTCGTGCGCCAACTCCTTTGCCACGTCCCGTCGCATCTCGGTCGAAATCGCCTTCCAAAGTGGTTCGCCACTTGTCGCATTCACATCCTCGTAATCCATCTTCGTCAAATACGCCAAAATCTCCTCGAGTTCGCCAATAAACGTCCTATACTCCTCCTTCGTCTGAATCCCGCCTTTATCCATGTACTTGCTGACCAATGTCGAAACCGAGTTCTCGTTAAATCGCCTAAGAGGTGTCGCTCGTCCCCATTTCCGAATGAGTTCCTTCTTCAAAAGTTCCCAATCCCGATTCTCGTGTCCTTCCATATTCTCAATACACTCGCTAATCTTCTTGTCCTTAATCATGAATGGTAACTGAAGTGCTACATCCTGTCCGCCGGCTTTGTGCAAGGAAGCTATCTTCTCTACACGTTTGATAAATAATTCCACTTCTGACCCGTCAAAGTCTAAGTTCAACTTCCTTGTATCTAGAACTACACCCTTTTCTTCATCGACCAGTTTGATTTCCGATTTTGTCCTAGTATGACTAGATTCTGATGAGGTTACCGCCAGACCTAGCAAACTTTCTTCTCCTACGCCAATAGTGGTTTCTGCTCCGGCCATTCCCGTATACGGTGTTGAGGTCGCAAATCGTAATGATGGTCCACGTGGTGGTGGAGTTTCTGGTACCGGTACATTCTGTGGTGTTTTTACTTGATTCATCATTAACATCATCATCTGCTGCATCTGTTGCATTGATTCTTCCAATTCAGTAATCTTAGCCTGCTGTTTTTCTATAACAGCTGATTGTTCCCTGTTTTGTTCCTCTGTGTTTGCCATCTTTGATTTTTGTTTTAATAATTTGCCGAATTGTTCTTCCAAAAATTTCCGCTCCCTTTCTCTAATCTCCTCGTCAATCCTGGATGTCTTGTTTGACTCCTTGGTGTCTCCGCTCGAATCCTTCGTCTTGCCAATCACCTCCTTCTTTTCACCAATCGACTCCTTCTTCTCGCCGGTCAAACCCTTCGTCTCGCCAATCAGTTCCTTCGTCTCGCCAATTAAATACTTCGCCACTTCAATCGTATCCTTTGTATCGCCAATCGAACGCTCCTTATCGCCACCAAAATCTGCCTTCTTCCCGTTATCCACGATTGATTTGATGTTGAGGTTGATTCGCTAGAAAAATATGAATGATTCGAATGATCTTGATGAAGGTAATCGGCCACTGTTGGGACACCAGATGTAGGACTCCTGGGACGGATAGACACGGTAAAGTATATGTATATCAAAAGATCCCTTGAGGGGGAGATAAATTGCAAATAGGTTGAAAGGCTATTACAACTTACGGGTGGTTTGAAAGACCTGCCCCTCTAAATGTACTAAACAAATAACTAAGAGTCTTGTAATCAATATTTAATAATGTATGGCTGATTCCAAGATAGATCTTACTTTCGTAAAGTAATCTCTATCAGACCTAGATCACGTATCAATCTACTAATGAACCTGTTACAACTTCAGGTTAATAATGGAAACTGTGGTGCTGATGACTTGAGCACGAAACAGATAATTTGTTATAGAGTTTGTTAATGATCTCTTCCTCGAACAATTTCTTGCTAAGGCACTTTAATCAAAAACTAGAGCTCCGGTACTAATACTACTACTGCTTGTTATTGGTTAATTGTTAATGTACTACTACTTATATGATGACTACTACTACTAATATGCTTCAAATTCCGAACTCTGTGTTGGTTTCACGCTTACAATACTGTACTAATTCACTAATTATCACTAACTCACTCACTTACTACTTATTCTTCGACTTGGGTGATCAAACTTACCGCAGTAGGCTGATGTACTAACTTCACTAACTAACTACCTATCACTAACTCTAACTCTTCACTTTACTGACACTCCGGAACACTTCCAGTAGCTCAGGATCAACTTACTGCTCTGCGAGACTTCTGTAGGCTGATGGGGAGAAGAGACTTTCTGGTGGTGAGAGGTCCTTCTTTTATATTGAAGAGTGAGGGATTTCTGCTGCAGGGGACTCCTTGTGAGGGAATATTGCTGCAGGGGATCTCACCTTCACAGCCTTTGCGCACAGCTTCCAAACAAATAGCGCAGCTTATGCTGTGCTAGGAACACTTAACTCCAGACCTTGTCACATAATATGTATGCAAGGGAGCACACAAGCGCAGCATGATGTCATGCATCGCCAGGCAACCAAGCCATCTTCCAGAACCAAGCGCAGCATGATGTCATGTGTCGCCAGGTAACCGAGCCATCTTCCAGAACACTCTGCATAGGCAGTACCAGCCTGCCAGACCTTCTGTTATCTCCTTCCATCCAGAGTTTGGGGGTCAAAGCCTCTCCTCACTCCTTCCTTCCTCCGTCCGCCTCAATATTTTTCCTCCCTTCACTTTCTACAATCCGTTCCCTGTACCCTTACGTAAAACATAAAGTACCCTTATTACACACCGCTCCTCCGTTCCATTCCTGGTTGAGACATGTTCTCCCACTCCTCTCCACGTATATACTTCCACTCCTCCGTTCCATTCCTGGTTGAGATATGATCTCCCACTCCACTCCTCGTATGGCCACCGCTCCTTTGTTCCATTCCTGGTCAAGACATGTTCTCCCAATCCACTCCTTGTATGTAATCCAGTCCGTATATACCACACCTCATCCATAATGATTGTTCCTTCTCTTGTAATGATTGTCACATGTATGTAACTATGCTATCCCAACACCTCTGCTGTATGCTTTTGGCATTGGAACAGGCACAGCACACCACAACGAAGTCATTTAATGTATGTCTCCAACGATCCAAATCGAGCAAGACATCGTTGGGTGAATAGCGTTTCGCGTTCAGGTCGAACCAATCACTCATCCATCTATAGAGGCTGCGTAGGTAACACCGGAGTTGTGGCAACATGTATGACACATGATTTAAGCGTCCTGTTAATACCTCTACTTCGTTAAAAGAAAACTTTCTGGATGTGTCCAGGAATTCTAAAATTTGCCTCTTCCGTTGTTCCAATTTCTCTTCAGGCAAACGGACTGTCTTTGCTACTCCATTCCATAAAAAGCCTATGAATTTTTGCTCTTCAGAGAACACGGAGCACTTGTTCAAGTTTGTCAGAACTCCGAGTTCGACGGACCTATTGACAATGTCTTTCATTTCCGTCTTAGAGTTTGGCCGTTTGACAAAAAGATTGTCGTCGACCCACCGAAAGACCTTTACTAAGTCGAATTCGGCAAACATGATATCCTGCCACGCGTCTGCTGGTCTACCGAAAGACCCACAACCTGCCACCCCTCCAAACGTGATCCTGGTATCCAGATACAAGAGTCCGTTGTGGTCATTATTCCTGTGTATGAAGGGAGAAAATTCAAAATTTTTATTATTTATCAATCAAGGACTTAAGATATGGACAAATGGACGTCAGAAATGGAATCTAAGGCCAATTTAACCCCTAGTCACTCACTGAAACCACCTTCATATCTCTACTGGATCAGAATTTACGCAGAATCAAGGATGTCACATGGAGGATCACAGGATCAGAGGCACTCAGCTGGAGGGTAAATTGCATGGGGGTATATTGAATATTGCATATTGAATTCCTTTTATACTTACAGAACCACAAGTTGGCCACCAGTTGTACCAGTTAAATTCCCATTTATTCAGCCACAGAACACATGAATTCCTTTCTTACAGCTTACATATAAAAGGAATGCGTTGTAGATAGTCTAGCCAAAATCCCTCAGGATTTTCAAGGATAGGGCAGCTAAAATGCCTCATACAGGGGGTCCCTTGGGGCTAAAATCCCTCATAATTTACTATATAAGGAGGCCTCTGCCTGCCAGTTGTTTCCCTCCTCATCCCACTCAGTACACATTTTTGGTGGGACACCTGTCACAGATATTTATTACACAAGAGGTTCACAAGTAGTACAGTTCACAGTTGAAATATATACACAGTTTCACAAACATTACACAGAAGAACCAGTCCTTTGTTCCAGTCCTGGTTGAAGCATAGTGCTCCCAGTCCCTTTGGGTTCAAGAACCACCTCTATTACATATACAGCATTAAGGAAGAACACAAGTATCAAGACATCAAGACGAGAAACAACATCACCAACTCAATCAATTCTTTGGACAACAATATTAACCTTCAACAATTATACAACCATCTTTGAACATAATCCATTATCACCAACCAAACTGCCAAGCTTACCTTGGTGGTCTTGTTTTCTGATAACATAGAAAGGCAGAGTTTGCAGCTCATTTCATCCCTTTCTCCATTCAGCAAAAAGGATCTTACAATCACTTTTTGAGTCTTACACCGTCTAGTCCTTTTACCATCAGATAAGGCCATTGCGACGGGTGAGTTGGGATCTGCCGATAAGCCTTTTCCCAATCGAATAAGGCTGAGAGTAGCGGGCCTTCGGATTCTCTGAAGAAGGATGATACTACATTGTAGTCATCCCACGTAGTCTCGAATTCTTTCTTGTCCACAAAGGAATTCACTGACGGTATCGATGCGTTACCGTGAGGGAAAGACAGGTCGTTGATTGGTCTGACCGACCTGTCTCCATTTACGACCGCTCCCAAAGGGCTCGTTCTAAAAAATTTGAATTTTGACTTTACTTGGTCTATCGTGAAGGGTCCAAACATCCGGCCCGCCTTGAGTTCCTTCGACATTGACTCCTTGATTTTCTCTTCTGCTAAAGTTGCTGACAAATGATTGTCGGGTGTGAACCAGGATAAGCCCCTTATCTTGTGGACTGGAATCCCTTGATGAAAACCGTGCTTAAAGCCGACCAAGACATCCTGATAATTTGCCAGAATGCCCGCTCCTTTCAAGGCTTTTTCCCAGAGGTCTAGGTTCATTTCACATCTGACCACACTTGGCCAGTAAGGACTTGCATGAGCATTGGAGAATTGCATGAACGAGCGCTTTGAATTCATTGGGTATCCATCTGCTGAGTTCCTAAAAGAGTGGGAGGAACATGGGAGAAAAAGGGAGAGGGAAAAAGAGGGCATGGCAGAGAAGGGAGAAACAGGATGGAGTATTAACAACAATCCTAACAGACTATTTATGATATCGCTTCACAATTGGTACATGACAGTACAAAAAATTCGGAACGAATTTCATTGGTAAGGACAGAGGAGAGCCTAAAGGCCTAAGTGGGCTACAGGAATGAGCGGAACAAGGGCTTTGGGGACAGTGGGATACAGCACCTACTTATTGCTGTTATTCTTTCTCCCGTTTGCTTGGCCTCCCTCTACCTTTCCCCCAAAGTTATCTGAATAGTTCCCTCCTTTGTAACCACCCCTCGGTCTTTTGGCGCCGTTTTGGAAACCTTGGTTCTGGTTATTAGGTGCATGATTGAATCTGCCACCAAGGGGTTGACCATAGTTCTGGTTTCCGTACATAACCCCATTCATATAACTGTTGACGGGAGGATTCATCCAATTCTGACCATGAGAGTTTGGATTCGCGACCATGGCATTGCTATGTTGCGATGATAGGAAGCTGGCACCGTTTCTAGAAGGTCTGAGATACCCGGTCAAAGGGTCGTGGTTACTGTGGGAAAAACCTGGAGCATAGAGGTTTTCCTCCCATTCCAGTTCGCCAAAATTTCTGCAAGTGTTGTAACATTGCTCGACGACCGATTCTTTTCGCTGAGATATGTCTGGGATTGCTTTTTTGACATCTTCATCCGTTATGCGGTGAGAGAAAGTGTTGCTTCTAACCTCCATGTCGTAGCGGAACGCGACCATGAATCCGAATTCTTCAGTTATGTCGTCGCAATTGTTCTTGTGAGTCGCTAGCAGCTTAGAAAACTTGATAATCTTGTAGACATCATGGAGGGTCTTGGCGAAGGCTCTGTGGTTTCTAGTCCACTGAGCATACGTTTGCGTCCATTCTTGGACAAAAGCGAAACCCTTGTAGCCGCCGGACTTGTCTTTGTCAGCTGACAAATCGTCTGATCTCTGACGTCTATCCAAGTGGTGGGCCATGGCCCTTTGTTGCCACTTGCGATTGAATATTGTTAAGGGAAGAGGGGAGCGCAACTTTCGTATTTTCTCGTCGAGGAAAGGTGCAAAACCAACGCTATTGTGATTAGTCACAGATCCAATAGCGTACACCAGGTCTCCTTCTTTCAAGAAGAATTTGTCAGGGTCCTGTGCCGGTACTTTGGGTTCGACGGCAGGGGGCGGCGCCGCGACTTTGGTGCTGAGGTAGGTGATTTCTCCAGATTCGGCCCGACTTGGCATAGCAAACACGTTGGTGTTGCGGGTTGGGTTGGCCGCAGCCTTACTGATGAGGCCTATCGCCTTGAACAGCATTTCTGCTAAGATAACGTCTCCTGAGTCTTGCGCGGATATCGCTCTGTCCCACATCTGTTGCCTCTCGGCCATGATGGATGGTTCTGCGATAGCTAACGACGGTGCGATAGTACAACGTCAATAAAAAGGCATGTAGTATACGATACAGTGTAACGAGTGATGCTCTACCTGGAGATCTATCCTCCTCTTCTTCCTCCACAATATGGCTCTCGGTGATTGCACCGGTCTTTGCCTTAACAAGTGGGTGTATCAATGCCGCAGGGGCTCGGTCTCTGCGTGATTCGCTCGTGTCTATCAACAAATTGACTACCTCGTCTGACGGTCTTTCTACATAGGATCATAGTTTTGTTTATGCGGGTTTCAACGCTCAGCCGTTTTCGAAAAGAAAAGATGGCTGCCAGGAACAAGTACTTACCGTCACCTTCGGTTCCCCCTGACATCTCGTCATTTTGGGTAACCCCCGTAGGGTTTAAGAGACTGCCGTTTAAGGCTCTGCTGGTAGCGGTGCCGTTATTGGCTTGGGTATACGCATCAGATCCTATACTGGTCGAGCTTGCACCTGGTATTAAGGAGTTCGCGACCGGTGTGTCTTCACTTCTGGTCTTTGCTGCCGCCGATTCTTTGATCTTCTTCGATGTAGCTCTTGTGTTGTTTGCGTCGACCATTGTGTAGGGATGATGATAGCGGTTGTTTGGTTGTTAGTGAGAGTTATTAAGCAGCGATAGTTGGTTATTAGTGAGAGTTATTAAGCAGCGATAGTTTAGGTGGCGCGATAGTTAGCTTGTTAATAGTTGAGTGATTCGAGAAAAATTTTTGTAAGTAGAAAGTTTCCAGGAAGATGATAAGTAAGATTTGGAGATGATTGAAGGAGTGGCGGGAGAAAGTTCTTCTAGCTGTGCGATACTAGGTCTATAAAGCTACAGATACTTTCAACGGCATGGAATAATCCCTATTGTGTTTTGGACTAGACAGGGATTATTCTGTGCCTGTCTCGGGCCAATCTTACTCGTGCACATGGACCCCGTCACCTTCCTTCTGTGCCTAGGTCAGGTGTCATACAAGAAATTGGCAAACGAGGGACATGCGGTGCGAGGGGGGCCAATTGGATTTGGCAATGCAAAATAGTTGCCCTCCCGATGGATGTCACGGGTCGGCGTTGGACAATGGAAGTTGGGACGGGTTGGCAAGGACAAATCCACAGGGGGTCGATCAGAGGGTGTCGTTGATCGAAGGGAGTGCTCGGGAGCAGGAAGACTTGTTGCATCATCTCTGATCTGATGACCTGCACCAGCAACGGCTAAACTGTCTGCCGAGAAGGGTGGATCATTCGGAATGTCTCTACATTCTTGCCCTTCTTCACCCTCGTCATCTGAATTCTCAATGTCCGCCTTGACCAGAGCCAACAGGGATTGCAGGTGCGCCCGCTCCTTGGATTTCAACGCCGGGTGACTTGCTAGCTCCTGCGCCTTGATGTAAAGGTCCAAACCTATGGAAACAGATAATGCAAAGTGTGTTAGCTGGGGTGGATGACCAGTGGGCCAGATTCAAATGAAAAGCGAATCTTATGTGATTGATCATTCCCGGTTGACATATCCAGGTTGAGGGTGGGGGTTGATGAAATTAGGGGTGGCGGTCGGCTGGTCTGAAAAGGTAATCAAACAAATAAGTCAGCTTTTTCCCAAAATTGCAGGCACATTGGGTGGTTACGCCTAGGGTCGACTGAGAGGAGTGGGGGCAAATGGGGGCCCTTCGGTTGCATAGGGCCTTGGGCCTCTCCGCATGGCTGGATTTCTGGCCAGGGGGGGGGGGGGCAAATTGGCCCATTTGTTGGCTCTTAGGTTCCTGGGGGACCCCCTTGGGCTCCCCTGTCGGCTGGAGATCTTGCAACCAGGCCTTGGGCCCCCCAGGAGGGCAAGATACATTGCAACCAGGCTGAATTTGGCCCCTCTAGGGGGCTTGAGCCCCAACAAAAACAAAAAACCTAATAACCTAAAATTTGACCCCTTTAGGGGGATGGAAACCCAAAAAAAATTAATCCTTACAATTTTTTACCCCAGGTACCAATTCTTGGGTGCCGGATTGGATCGGGTCGGATCAGTCCGGATCAGCTTGAAATCGGGCGTGCTCTAACCTTGATCGGTCATCGTTCAAGGTTAAAACCTTGAGCGATGTGCCCCAGGCCAACCCATACGACCCAGGGTTGGGTCATATGGGTCGTCCTGGGGCCTAAACGCATATCATATATGCGTTTAGGCCCCTGCAGCTTTGGCGTGCGGCCTCGCATGCCAAACACCTTTGGCGTGCAGGCCTGCACGCCAACCTGCAGGGTATATCCCTGCAGGTCATTGGCGTGCGGCCCTGCACGCCATTTACGGGCTGGCGTGCAGGCATGCACGCCAATCTGCAGCTGGCGTGCGGATTGGTGTGCGCGAGGGGGGTTGGCTTGCAGTTATCAACCCCCCGGACATATTTTCCATATATCAGAAGACCCTGTCCAGCCACATTGAATCAGAGATGATGCAATGAAGTCATTAGCCTCAGCTTGATTCAAAAGCTGTATTCAAAACCAGGGAAAGGAGTGACTTACGATTGACTTCTTTTCTGACAACGACGAGTATAGAGATAGCAATTGAAAATTGACTTTGTTGAATTTCAAATAGGCTGTGATCGACCAACAATACCGGCTTCAGGTGAGGTTTATCGTTTATCAACTTGAGCTTAGTTAAAGCCTATGTCATACAAAATGGGATGGGGTAAGAATTTGAGCGCGGTTAGCACAAGACTCAGTCATGAATCAAAGTGACTTACTGCAGTGGTTTAAAGTTTGAGCCCAATATCAACCCTCTCCATAGGCCAAGGTAATCGTTAATATCCAAGCAATGATCTCAAAATGTTGAAGATGCAAGTTGCGCTTGAAGCAATTCTAGTCAATAGTCAGAAGCACTTCCCTTGACAACTGCTTGCAATCCACGATTCAAGGACGAATTTCAAAAGCCCCATTAGCTCTACTGTATGTGGAAAGTTTTATGATCTTGTTGGGGTGCGGCTTACCTATGGGATTCTTGAATCCAATCAGTGCAAATATGTATGAGTCGGCCAAATGTTTAGATTACTCTCCTGAGGTTGTTTTGGTCATGCCCGGCCGGGGACTACGGGGGGGGGGGGCTACGGGGTGGACCGGGGCTACGGGGTGGACCACGTCAAAGCCTATCAGGCTTACTTCATACGGACATTCCCAGCCTTCACTTACTCGCTATCAGCCGATCTGGGTGGGGGTGGCTTCCAGCTGAATGAGATGGGAGAGCCCATTGCGACCTTTGGTTGTTACCCTCACCCTTTCATCAAATCAACAAATTCAACATCTTCAGCGAGCGTTACTGCTTCGAATCGATCATTTGTTTTGGACCAATACAATATGCCAACCAACCAGCACCACCCCCCGCTACGTACAACTTGCTTCGATATACCGAGCTGGCTCAGGGTAGGATACGCCTGCTCGCTCGCAGCCACCATCTGCATCCACATGATGAAACACCCTCGATTGACGGCAATGGGATAATTTTGTTTATGTAGGTATATGGTATGTACCCAGTTGGTGGCTTCCATCCCCTTCCTCAATCACTCAAATCGATTACGAAAAAGAACGGTGGCCAGCAGTCGCTAACCAACCCAGTCAGGCAACCAAATTGCCCGTGAAAATAGCTCTACGCTGTAGTAGTACTGTTGGTAGTCGACTCCCGAGCGGAACATCGGCTTTTGAATTAGCCAATACTCGCAGAAGCAGCCTGCACAGCACTTCTGATTCCTCATCTTTCGTCTCCCCACTTGGACTCTTAGGCCCGACACTCACATCAGCTCTTCAGTCCTTGAGGGCCAAAAATTCAGATCAATTACCTACAAATCACATGGCTCTCGGCCGCGATGCTGTTCAAGTTGGTCTAGAACAAGCGACTGAAGAAAGGGAGAATGGCTCTTCCCAACGTGGGCCACCTCCCATAATCGATACCAATGATGTACTCGCTTGTCGGCCCAACATGGCCGGTATTCATGAAGGCGAGCGGACAGGCAAACCTGAACCCAACAATGGACAAGGGGAACCCGCAGGGACGGCCTTGGTAGAAGTGATCAAGAAGCGTTCCCAATTGCTAGCCCAAGCCGGTAAACGCATCCCAAATCCCAACTTGCCGATCCAACCGATCACAAGCTCTCGCCTTGTCCCTCGGTCTGCCTTAGCAACAGATACTGACAACCAATCTGTGGATGGCAGTCAAGTCAACCTGATTGATTTCTTGTCTCAACCCGCCGCCAACTCTGCCGCTCTTGGGATCAGCGCTTCCGCCCCTGCGCATCAACCGCGCACCTTGATGGGAGAGGTCCCATCTGTTATAAAGAAACTCACGGCCAATACACAATCTGTGCCCGGGCCCCCATTAAATGCACCTAATGATGTGCATCCGCAGATTAACATCACTGATGAGAATGCCGAACTGGGCCATCACCCGATTGTTGGATCAACTTCCCTTCCAAGAGCTGGGCTTAATCCAATGGCAGACTATCGGTTGGCACACTCTTTCTTTGTTCTAGTACTAATAAACCAGTCTAACAGATTCTTTTCCTTTTTGGTAGAAATTGACTCCCCACTATGCACGGGTGAGTTCTATGTAATACTCAGCTTCTACCTCTTCTGAAAGAGCTAATCCAAACTCCTTCACAAAGATATCACGTTCTACCCAACCGATGTGGAAAAAACGATTGCGACCGTCTACATTTCATCTGTCTCTTTTGAACAATTGAATACGCTCGGTGAATTGTTCAAGAAGGCCCTGGCCAAAGAAGCCGCTGTGATAGACATGGACCGCCTGAAAATGGTCATTGAGCGAGCAGCCTTAAAAACTTGCAATGTCATGGAAGTAGATGCAGCTGACAGTCTATCATCAGCTATCATATCTAACTTCCTCTGCGGTGGTAGCTCTGATTTGATATCTGGTCTGTCAACCAAACTCAAACGCTAAAAAACTTTATCTACTTGGTCTGCCGATTGCTGGTCAACGGTCTTCAAGGAGTAAGTGTTTTTTTTGGCAAACCAAACTCTATGTGTTTTGACCCTGCCCGTAATTTACATAGATGGTTAGTGACCCCACCAAGCACATGTATCATTGGAAAACCATCAGCCAAACTGTCAGATAAATTAGAGGCCGACACCAGGCAAAGGCTAGAAGACACTCGACCAACACTTCACACTTTAAAAAATGATTGAAGATTAATGATTGGAGAGTGTGGATGTGTCTATAGGAAGTATACAGAAGCACTGAGGGTGATCAGAAGGGCAACGACGGTGCCTCCAAATCATAAGAAGAAGGCGATCAGCTTCCACGATGAGTCTTTGGCCGTCCAAGTTTGGTTGTTCAAGTCTCTCAAGCTTTGGTCTTTTTGTGTCGATCTGGAAGAGTCTATCGGGACGGTCGAGTCGACTCAGAAAGCTTATGATACTATCTTTGAGCTGAAGATTGCCAATGCGCAGGTAAGGTTATCTCTGATTTGATTCTTTCTTCAAGAAGAAGGAAGAATACTGGAGATTGAAGTTTCTTTTTTGTTAATAGATTGTAGTGAATTATGGAAATTTCTTGGAAGAGAATGAGTATTGGGAAGAGTCATTCAAAGTATACAAACGCGGGATCGAGTTATTTACGTATCCAATCGTGTTTGAGATCTGGAACACGTATCTGAACAAGTTCATGAAGCACTACCAGGGGAAGAAGATTGAGCGGGCACGGGATCTGTTCGAACAAGTGTTGGAAAAATGTCCGGAGAAGTTCGTCAAGCCAATCTTCCTCTTGTATGCCTAACTGGAAGAGTCTTTCAGGCTCGCCAAACGGGCCATGGGCGTGCTTGAACGAGCTACTGAGAAAGTGGCGCTACATGACCGCTTTGAAGTCCGTCTCTTTTTTCTTGCGCTTCTAACCTCGTTTCCTGTGGTTGATAATCTTGACTGATCTCGATCTATACCTCTGTGAATGCAGATGTTCGCTTATTATATCGCTAAAGCTACCGAAAACTTTGGACTACCTGCGACTCGTCCGATCTATGAAAAAGCGATCAAGTCGTTGCCCAATAATCAGACCGCCAAAATGTGTCTAAGGTTCGCTAATCTTGAGCAAAAGTTGGGCAAGATTGATCAGGCTAGAGCTAGTTCGTCTCTTTCTTCTTTCTCTCTCTCTCTCTCTCTGATCATCCCTATTATTTTGATGGGGGATTCTTGTTGGATGTACTGATCTTATTCTTGGGTTTGGTTTGACGTGGGTAGTTTATGCCCATTCTTCCCAGTTTTGCGATCCCAGAACTTCGCCTAAGTTTTGGGAAACTTACCATAATTTTGAGATTCAACATGGAAGTGAAGATACATTTAGAGAGGTACTACATCTAAACCCCCCCTTTTTTTCTTTTTTTCCTTCAAGAAGTTGGCTATCTTAAGTCTTGATTGCTGTTTTTTTTTATAGATGTTAAGGATTAAACGAGCCGTTCAAGCTTCATTCAACACGGAGACATCCTATCTGGCAGCCAAAGCAGCAGCCGCAAGAGCCGCTGGTAATCGGGGTGGTGGGGCCACTGTCTCTCAACAACAAGATGAAGATGATGAAACAGGATCAGGAGACCCGATGCGTAGACTCGAAAAAGATGACCCTGCTTCTTCTACTACTGCGGGCAATCAAGCTTTCGTCTTGTTTGTCTCTTTCTCTTTCTCTCTCTTACTCTTTTTTTGCTTGACAGATTTTGTTTTTGACTTGAATACTACTTTTATGGTCATTAGGTTGAAAAATAGGCAGGCTCAAATCGACCGTTCTGGGCCCCTTAACCCCGATCAACAAGCTACCAATAATTCCGCTAATGTTGATGAGATTGCAATCAATGATGATGATGATTAACCTTTTACTTTTTCCTTTTTTTTTCTTCTTCTTGAGGCGTGGGTAAAGCGCTGAAGAAGTACAGCCATAGCTCCAAAGTCTGGACCTTATATGGTGGATTTTGCTTGAAAAATAATTGGCCGACTGACCCCTCAAGTTTACTCTCTCGCAGTTTGAAGAGCTTACCTCATTAAAGGAAGGAATGTTTGAGGGAGAATTGTATAGTTTTATCGGCTCTTCGTCATTCGCCTCCGAGTTTACTTCCTCTTGTCACCACCATGGAAGCTATTTCCCTTGAACTTATAGCTGTACTTACAGCTCCCAATAAATGCTGAGAGCTGAGCTGCACTCCCCTGCCTTATATTTATATATGTATATGAGTTGTTGTTCTCTTTGGCCAGCTTCCAAGATCTCGCTCATCTTCTATTTTTTGTCTCTCCTTGATGATGGTCACCACTTGTGATGTTGATCGGTCTCAACCAGGAAAGGAAAAGAGCATTCCACTCATGGATATGCTCAATCCCTTTTTTATGTCTGTCCTTAGTGAGCTTAGGGATCCCTCTTTCATGACCCTTGCTTCCTCGTTTCTGAGCCTCCATCACTCCACTCCACTCTCCTCTCCTCTTATCAACTTGTTTTTTTCTCCACACCCTCACTTGGGCCCTTTGCTATCCGCCAATCTGAGATTCTTAGATACCAAGCAACTCATCAAAAAGCATCTTACAAAAACCCTACTTGAGTTTTGAATCTGAGTGCGCTTCTTCCCAAGCTAAGCTGCTGAGGCATGGGGCTGTACTTGCACCGTCATTGTTGACTGCTAGATTCAGCAATAGCCTTATTGATCAGATACCCAAGATGCGACATTGCATGTCTGAACCTTTGTTGACACTGTTCTGTTTAGGAGATGTGGCGCAAGTAGACTCAAAGATGGAAAATGAGGCACTGATACCGAAATTAGCTCAAGATCTGTGTACATAAGCTAGCCATTTGGGTGTTTTTTGGAGTGGTGTTTGCCTTTGGAATTTGAAGGTATACATTCGAGGCTCAAATATGTTCCTGGGCGGAGCAGTCCTTTGGTTGAAAAATTGATACATTTATCTCTATCAGTATTCATCTGTGCATATCCAATTCTTTTGGACGGGTCTGTGTAGTTGCAATAATTATTGGGGCTTGGAAAAACGACTCCCAAATTTTAGTCGACGACTCCCGTTTCGGTCGGGAGGTCGTCCGACGGGAGTCGTTCTTCCAATTCCCGGGAGTCGTTGGCCTAATTCCACAGGCGATTTTTTATTTTTTTTTAATTGAAAATTCGGGAGTCGTCCGCCTAAAAGGCGGGAGTCGGCGCCCCAAATTTGATCCTTAATTTTCTTGATTCTTTTTTTTTTTCCTTGGGAGTCATCAGGCTAATTTCCCCAGACGGAAAGGGAGTCGATGGCCCAATTGTCCAAACTGACAGCTGGGCTTTTTTTCCGTCTCGCAGGAGTCGTCAACAAATCCCTAGGAGTCGGCTGGGGAGAAGAAACCTTGTTTCTTCTCCCACGCAGGAGTCGCCGCTCCACACCCATATCCTCCCCTCCTCCCATATCCACTCTCCCCACCAACTCCCCACCCACCCAACCACCCAACCAACTACCCAAACCAAGCAACCAACGACCCAACCAACCAACCAACCAAACCAAACCATGTCCCACCCCACCATCCCCGCTCACGCCACCGAAGGATGCCGCCTCAGCTCATGAAGGAGTGGAAAGAAAAGGCGTCAGAAGAGGCTTGGGGATGGGAAGCCCAATTTTCTGATTCTTTTGAATTGACTGTACTGAGGAAAATAGAAAATCCAATGAAACACTACTAGGGTTTTTTTTATCCTGTGTCTTTTTTAGTTTTTGATTTTTTTCCTCTATGTCCTTTTTTACCCTGTTTTTTTTTCTTACATTTCTGATCATTTTTGAACGTTTTTGGCCCGTTTGTCATCTCTTTTATCTCTTGCAATGGTTTTTCTCAATCAATCTAGTTTTTTTATCATTGATAAATTGCCTTTGGGGTGGGGCCTCAGTGGCTCAACCTTTTTTTGGAGTCTCTGAGGGTGCCATATGGCGACGACTCCCATTTCTAGTTGGACGACTCCCGTCTTTTTTTAATATAGAAAAAAAAAGGCAAAGCATTTGGCGGAATTGGTGCAACGACTCCCTTGTATTAGGTGGACGACTCCCGTGAATTTAAATATAAAAAAGGGGGAAACATTAGGCGGAATTGGTGCGCCGACTCCCGCACTTTAGGCGGACGACTCCCTATTTTCTTAATAAAAAAATAAAAATTCTCCAGGTAAAATTAGTGCGACGACTCCCTATGTTTTTTCGGGAATTGGAAGAACGACTCCCGTCCAACAACCTCCCGACCAAAACAGGAGTCGTCGACTAAAATTTGGGAGTCGTTTTTCCAAGCCCCTAATTATTTGGCTTGGGCATTTCCTTATTGGGTAACCCATTGATTCCCAATGGGTATGATAGTTGACACTTCCCAGTTCATCAACAACTTATTCCCCATTTGTCACATCACTTTTGGTAGGAATCTTCCTGTATAACACTCCACGTATATCATGGTCCAAACAGTCCGGTGCCTTGTTGTATCGTTATTCCCTCCCCATCCACCCAGAATGAATTTTTATAAGTAGCTGCTTGATCAATCCCATATCTCACCATTCTCCCACTCCCAAAACAGGTGCATCCACATCTTAATTACCAACCCCAAAACTCCTCATCATACCCATTCAGATTATATTTGTTGTCATGAACACGAAAGACTTTAATCCTAGAGCTCCACATATCCACAAGCTGGATTTAGTTAAGTTCCTCAAAGGCCTCGACAACACAATCCATTTGCCATCATCGATCAACAAGCAAGGTCTAATTAAGGTGGTAGACCAGAAGCTGGGTAGAGGTGTGTTATTCATCCTTTCTTTCTGCTTAGCTCTGCTAGTACCGATTATTGGTTGATTTAGTATTCATGGCCCCAGCAACAGATTGTGTTTTGCGACAGCGTAGCAATAGTCCAGCTTTACCAGTAATCCCAGGCACAATTGATCCAAATACCAATCCTCAAAAACCCCCGTCTACTCAGCCAGTGTTAAGTAAGTCAATACTCTTGGATGAAAGTGAAATCAAGTCAAACTGACATTGTACATATATATGTAGGACCTCCCACCCCAGATTCTGGTGACGAATGATTGGTCAAATTGGAAGTAGTTCCTGATGAAAAACTGGACATATTGACTCATAAAGAGGAAGTTGACCTTACTAGCACCATCAAACCTGTCTGCATTGTTAAACCACAAAATACAAAGTGCAAGACAGCAAGTAAGCATTGCGTTCACTCATTCCTACTCTATAAAACCTTTGAACAACAGGATGGCAAGATTTTGATTGAATGCACTGTTTTTTCATAGTCCCCAGTTCCATCACCATTGCCCCCCCTCCTGCTGGAGGCCAAAGAATTTTGTTCACCCTGTATCCATCTTCATTATCCCCGAGGGACAGAGATCTTAGTGAAGTCATGAGACGTATGAATATTGGAAAAAAGTGGTGTGTTCTGGACCCTGTAGAACCTAATTTCAAACCCAGACTATCGCGACTCAATGTTGGGGACAAATGGTGCTAAATTAAACACGGCCAAGCTGGGATTGTCTGCACAGCCTCCATACCAAGTGAGCAACTTTTCCATTTTGAGAGCCCAAATAGACCAGCTCATTTAAAATATGTTTATCTACTTCCACTTAAGAAAACGCTGAATCTGCCGCTGCAGTTGGTAGCCTCCATTATTGGGACCCCAAGGACGACAACAAATACAAGACCTCCTTGTCTGGTTCCCTCCCAGATTGCTTGTTTGAATGCAATGACAAACTTGATGAGTGGAGTCTTGTTGATGCATCCAGAGCATCTTCTGACTCAGGCACCTCGTCCACCCCACTCATCAACGACCAAGTACCAGAAATTTGTTTGGACTTACCAGGTGCACTTCCTGTCGATCCGGTGGATGAATACCCCCCAGTCCAGCTATTGCCAGGCAAGTTATATTTATGAATTTTTTCCGATGACTTTTTCAAGTCATGACTCATGACTAACATTTAAACTCATTGGGTAGAAGTGGTGTTGGCAGCAAAAACAATTTCTGAATTCATTCAATACAACGTCCTCAAGTTGTGCAAGCTCAGCAAGCAGTTCATCCTTGAATGATTCCTTGTGAAAAAAGATGAAGTTTTCAGCTTTTTTTTTCTTTTTACTTTTTTAGTTATAATTACACTAGATGCATACCTCAATAGGGAATTTGTAACACTCTCCTTTATTTCTCATCTTTACAAACTACAAAATTAAGAGTTTCATTTTGCTTGGTTCTCAAATGGGGAGATCTCTCCTTCGATACTCCGTCTACATTTCTAACTATCATTGGCCTGTTCAAAAAGCGATTGAAATTATCTCTCACGTGCACAAGTGGTGGGTTCTACATACTGGAATGTTTCGAATAGCTCAATAGTATATCCACAACAAGCGAGGCTGTTGACCGTTAGCAAAGGTTTTTCAGTATTGGTGGACTTGGAGGAAACAAAAGGGGAGTGAGGCTGGCTTTGAAGTTGAGTGGACTTGGGGGAATTTTGGCTGGGAATTCAGCCAGAACCGGCGGCTCCTGCGGCCGACTGAATCCCCGCCAAAACTGTTATCCAAACCACCTCTTACGCACATTCAAGCTACCTGATAAATAGGTACATGTGTTTTGTGAGAGTGAATTTATTGCTGTTTACATCCATTTGAGAGGCATCAGGTGTTTCAAAGCTTGTATACATGTCTTTTATGGGAAAGTAGCTGTGCCAAGTATCTATGGCAGACCTCCCAACTCCCATTTGCTTAATTTTTCTCCGGTTGGAGCACTCAGCTCAATTTCTTCAACCCATTTGAGCAGTCATATAACTTCAGCCAATTCAAATCCACAAGATCAAGCTAAACAAATCACAAGTTTGATCATGGAACTGT